TTTGTATATATATACTTTTTTTTTATAAATGTAAGCAGTTGTAATATTTTGCGTTTTTTTGCTTACACTTGATCTTTGGTATTYAGACAACACTCAATTGCAAAATTGTTAGTACAGTTATTTAAATAGAATACTTGCGGCTCATGCTTAGCGCTAGCTTAATCAATACTTAAGAACTTAGATGGCAGCGGCGCTTAATGCGTTCATGCAAAAGTTATATCAATCCCACTTGTACGGAAACGGGTATGAGCAGTGCTAATCAAATGGCGCGGTGCATGGATACACCTACACATATGTAAATATAMGTAAGTATGTGTACATAARCAAGGTTTTTGGTGCATTTTTTGGTTGCTTAAAAACTCAAACAACTTGCTTAATGCAAGGCATGGWTGCGCGAGGAGGCGGTGTAAGTGACTTGCCACGTGAGATCTTGTAATGCCAGGGATTCGTGCCATAAAACGGTATGCTGCGCCTGAGATTAAGGTAAATAAGTGCCAATGTTTAATACTTTTCGTTTCATTAATACTAAAAAGGTTTTAAAAAACAGTTAAAAACTAAAACTGCGAAATTAGTTATCAAAAGGAGATTCGTAAATATGTATGTATGTAAATAAATTCAAGTGAAAAAGTAATTGAATTATTAGACGTGAAAACAAAATCAACAGAATTCATAATACTTTTTTTGCTGTTGCATGAGTTCAAGCTTAAATAGCGAAATTAATTAAATCAATCAAAAACTACGCTTACTAGCATTTCTTCCAACCACGAGCGGTTCAGCGCGATGTTCTCTTGCAGTTGCCATTGTTCGTGCAACAACTACAACAGCAAGAACAAAYTTATTACTTTTTGGCAGATTTGCAATTGCGAAAATTTTGTAATTGGCGCCTAATTGTAAGAGAATGTTAATTGTGTGACTTTTTCCACATCGCCCCACACTTGTACCGATTCGATGAATTGAAAATCGATCTCGGGTTGATAATGTGTGACAAGATTTCGGCCATCTTCGGATACCAAGTACACATAGATGCCGTCATCTTGGAATGCGAATTCTAGGGCGAATTCCGGCCCTAAAAGAGAATATGAATGTGGATATGTGTCAGTAGTGTCTGCAATTGTGTTATTGTCAATAAAGCGGTTGCTTATACTATCGTTAATAGCTTTATTTTTGAACCGACCATCAAATGTATCAAATTCAGTTTCTTTTCTATTCATCCATTCGTCGTCCTCTTTATAGTCCTCAATAAGCATTTTATGCGCCAGATCCCAATTGAAGTGATAGGTGATCGATTGTGGATTCTCGTTGACCTCATTCGCGAAGTTTATGGAAAATCTGAAAAATTTGAAACAGTAAAGTGTTAAATATCTGGCAAATAATGGCGGTATATATTTTCAAATTCAGATAATTAGTTTCGACTCTTATAACTAAGCAATATATTGGGTAATCGAAAAAGTCTTTTCGTATTTTGTCAATAGAAGTCGTTGCAGTCGTATATCTCCAGTGCTGCCTATCACATTGTGTCATACCATATAGTTTTGGAGAGATGAGATTTTAAGCGTCATTTAAATAAAATTAAATTAGGGGAAGTTGAAAAAAAGCTACAGGTGTTCAAAAATGGGTAAAAATAATGAAGAAATTCGCTATATTTTGAAATTTTTGTATAAAAAAGGGATGAATGTCAAGTAAACCACTAATAAAATTTGTGAAGTTTACGGAGACGATGCTTATCATATATTATTTGTGTAGCACAACAATGGTTCGTTCGCTTCCGTTCAGGAAATTTCAAAATTTCGATTTACACTGATGAAACTTTTACACTGATGGAATAATGTCTCTAGCGGAAAAATGACAAAAACTGATCGACCAAAATAGTACATATTTGTTTATTTATTTGTTATAATAAATATAAAAAAAATAAGTTGAAGTTCGATTAGAAATAAGAAAAAACTTTTTCGACTACCAAAGAATTGCMACATACGAGTAGTTTCCATTTGAATTATCGACACGTAGCACTTCGGTAATATTTTCACAATTTTAACCAAAAACCTTACTTGTTTAAAAAGTTTCATAAAACGCTTAGAAATTGACATCAAATTGACGTCTAGCAACAGGTGATTCGAGTCGAATTCGTAAGCGAAGCATTAAGAAATGTATAAATAACTAAGATAAGTACAATACATGAAAATATATTATATTTACGAAATACGAGCAAAAAAATTTGCATTTAAAGTATTTTCACCCAAGTAATGTTTGTCATAGCAAAGGAATTCAAAAAAATATATATATGTATATGTATATATACCCCCTGACACTTTGCACGTAACATACATACAGTTATGTTCACAAAAATAGCAGTCATTGAAATCACTTTGCAATAGGTCCAAGAAACCGGTTGTTTCGGCAAGTCGAATCGAAGGAAAAAAGGTGTTAAATAAATGGCTTCAGCGGRACATGCAAAGAGGTGCTTGATTAGTGGGGACTCATTACGCGCAAGACATTACTAAATGCATGTTTAGTATAGCCGGGACTATTATAGATAAGTAGGAATTGAACCTGCTACAGTATGTAGAACGAAGTTGACATATTGTGGTTTACGGTCTGGGATGATACCAAGTATAACATTCACTGGCCAGTTTGTTGATGGCTCCGCTGTACACGTTCGTTGTGTCGGAAATCGGTATATTATAAAATTTCGTCGACACATACTGGAAAGGTGCCCTTCATGTTCTAAGAGACGGCTCCGCTTCAAGTAGATATCTGCAGAGATGACTTCTTTGACCTTGTCTAAATCGTCTTCAGCTGCGTGCTGCTGCATCTCGTCGACCATATTGTGGCTGCGTATTTATTGAGCGACGAATGCCTTGTAGTTCGCCAGTTCCGTCACTTTGTCTTTATGCCACACGCTATCGACTTAAAGAACTTGTTGCGGCTCTCTGCTTTAGTAATAATCCGAATCCTATGTGAAGGATTATCAAACGTAACTCATTAAATTTTGGGGTTGTCACTGTCGGGTTTTTAACGCCATTGACATAAATCTTAACATCTTGTCTGTATTCTTTCGTACAGTTGGTGAATAGGAACGCTGTGGACTGCCTTCCTTGCAGTGAAGAAGCAAGAAAGGTCCAGGAGATAGGCGTTTACTGTCACCCGGACTGATTGAAGCTCTACATTCCATAAGCAGTCTTTATTACTCTGTGTGTTTTTATTTGATATTTCCTCATACTATATATTTCGAAGGAGATACACTTAAAATATCGAAGTTCCAAATACCGACAAATCAAAATGAAACGTATTATTACTGGCGTTGAGTCATGGCCGAATATCGTGCCAAAGGTGAGGCGAGCTGAAAAATAACGCCAAACTACTACTACAAATTCCTTCCGACTTGCCAAACCGTCAACAAGGAATACTTCTTACTATTCGGCAAACAAAAACGTGCGTTTCGAGGAAATCCTTTTGAGTTAATTGAAGACATTAAACGTGAATCGCTAGGCATACTAAAGGCTACTCTGGAAATTGACTTAAGGGGTTAGGTGGGTTTGAAAATTTCCAAAACTCGTTTTGTTTTTGTTTGCTTTATTAAATCTTACAATACCTCTAAAATATAGTCCTAAATTTTAAAGTTGATCTGAGTAATAACTAAGGAGATACATCCTTGAGAACTTGTGCACTCAAGGC